TCCGGTTAAGGATCGAAGGGCCATTACGTCCCATCGCAAAGTGTCTTCTGGCTATCATTCTGGTGGCACGGGGCGGGATCTCCTGGTCGATCCGGAGGCTATTAGGAGGATGTATCATATCACGTTGTTCCCATCCCTGACACGGGAGGCCTTCTGACCCGCACAGTTGGCCCTGGATCCGCACAGGAACCCTCATTGACGCAACAACATCCCTGATCATTGCAGGCAGTCCGATGGTTGTTACATAGACTGCAATTCCGTGTTTTTTCTGTGTTCTTCGGAGATATTGATTTCTCCCTATTGTAGATTTTAGACGAACTGAAGTTCCTAATTTGTATTAACGTGGCTATCCCATGTTCGTCTTAAAATGCTCAAGATCCTGTCAGAGCTGATTACGGATAAGAAAATTACGTGATACGGTCTTGAACACGCGAGCTCGCAAGTCAGCAATAACAGCCTCGGCGCCCGGCGTTGCAGCCCGGCCGTGCGGCGTCGGTCTTGCGGCTGCAACACGAAGCAATGACCAACGAGCAAACGAAAAAGATGACGCGTCTTAAGGAAGATGGCTGGTGAACTAGGGAAATCGGCATGCATGTTTAATGTAGTGCAAAAGTAAACCAAACGCAACCTTAATCTGAAAAGTGGGGGGGGGGGGGCAGTTAACATTGCTGCCCCCCTCCCCCACCTTGAAAAGTGGGGGGGTATGGCCCCTGGCCCCTCCCCCTGTTCCTACGCCCGTGCCTGCGAGCACACATGTTTAACACCACATTACGTAGTTTTCTTATCAGTTATCAGCTCTGACAGGATCTCTGACCGGCTAACTCAGCATTGACGAGCTTTTTCATGCATCGTTGGAGTTCCCGGGCTGTTGACTTAGCACTTTGTTTAGATCAAAGATTACTTGTACAATATCACTCATATATTCGTCAATCTGTACATTGTTACGTTTCGAGGCCTTATCTCATCGCAGAAGTCTACATGACACAAGAAAAGTGTTGAGTTTCAAAGGATGGAAGCTGAGCATTACTATAGAAAAAGCTTTTTTTAATACGTAGAATACAAATGAGGCATGGCCAATTGAACTAGGACAGAATGCTATTATTACTGTGATACATATCAAACACACCCATAACAGGGAAACACTACAAATAAACAGACATATTCCCACGATCACATCAAAAGCACTCACCACACTCCACCTAATAATTCAAGGGTTGTGCAAGAATTTGTTTCTTTTTCTGGGGCTGGAGAGAGTTCGTTGATAAATATACTTTGCCAAATATGAAGACATCTTCTGTAACTGCACGTCTGAGGAATGTCAGCGTCGTCCGTCAGATGTTGTCCCCTCAATGTCCGATCATGTTCGTGCCTGTTCGTGTCGCACGTGGTCTAGAGATGCCCATCACGCAAGCGCATTGGCAGGCGTCAAGAGAGTGCCGTTGTGGTTACACCAATGTAGTGTATGGAACAAAGTTTGCAGCCTTCGATATTGCATTTGAATTGATACGCTACATTGGTGCATTTTAGGTTATCGGGTTTGTCTGCGCTGTTCCTCACAAAATTCAGCGATTTTCCTGTTGCGATATTAAATGGCAATGTCTGTTTTGTGGTCGTCCTTGTCTTTTCCATGGCGAGAAATGATTTCCCGTAGAGCTTTTTCGTCGCGTTTGTAGGCAGATGTCATTTGATTTTCATGGTACAGTTGGACGGGTGGTTGTTGTCTGGTCTTGGTTTATTATAAACATGTCTGTCATATGTTGTTGCATTTCGTGTTTATTATATATATATATATATATATATATATATATATATATATATATATATATATATATATATATATAAGGCTATCGCAGCCCGTGGACGCTCACGTTTCCAATCCCAACGCACCAAAATGTGATCGATGAAACGTACGCATTTCAAATAATGTCAAACAAAACGTTACCGCTCCTTACGCGCCATATCAGAACATGGTCCACAGCCTTTCCCCAAATGCCCTCAGGCAGACGTCTTCCTGTTTACAATATCCGTTCCCCGCTCGTCTCAAGACGCACGCAATGCGGGCCAGCTGTACTACAACAGCTGGCCCGCCTTGCTGTAGTACTACATTGCCGCATTGCTACAACCGCATTGCCCCTGCAGCTGTACTGCCACAGCTGACGCACAAACGCTGCCGTCGTTGCTGGTTTCTGCCGCTGTTGCCCCTATTGCTTGATTTCTGCCGCCGCTATAGAACACCGGCGCTTAGCCGGATGCAACGCCCCCAAAGGGGCATTACCCACCCGACCGGCGGTACATGACTGAAATAGCCCCGACCGGTGCCTTATCGCCGGACACGTCACCCCATACCGGCCGCGTGAGGGGCGGCACAGGACTGCCTGGGTTCGCCCGCGGACCGTTTTTGGATAACATCCAGCAATGTAGCGGCTCAACGGGGGCTGGTAACATCGACGTCGTCAGTAACATCGCATGCCACTTTCGCATCGTCTTCAGAGTATCATTTACGGTATTTTATGGACCTGACGACAAACTAGAGCTTTCGCTCCTGTTTATGTCAGATTTGGTACTAAATTGTACCCCTGTGTAATGATGCCAGTGTAAAAAGAGCTTATCTTTCTTAACCATGTCAACTCGGTCATGTGCTATGCCAGTTTGCAAGTGCTGGGAGACCTATCAAAGAATAAAACTTGAATCTGGACAATAAGTCCAGTGCAACATTTCGCAGCCCTTTAAAGTTGCAGAAAAGTTTAAAGTTAAACTCTGCTTCCATCCGGCAGCAGAGAGCGAAGGTCCACGGCTCGAAATCTGTCATTCATATTAAGTCAATGAAGTCTGATTTTGTGGCTCAACTTGCCCATGCAGCGAGATGTCAGTGCTTCGAAATCTGCTCTGCACAAGCTCAGGCTGCAGCTATCAGCGAATAGAAACCAATGCTTGGCTTTGGGTTTCGTCTTACTGGGGTGGTCTGTTGTAATTTGTTTCCAGTTTCACAATTTGGTCCCCGATTTAATTGCAAGTGTCCATTTTGTCACTGATAATGATTGATAATGATGATAATGCCACTGATAATGATGATAATTAAAGTGTCACTGATAGTAATGATCGTGTCGCCCTGGAAATAAGTAATTTTTCAGACATCGTTCCACGCCTCCCCGCCTTACGCGACATACCGCCCATGACCACTTCCCATTTCCCATCGCATTGATTTTTCGTCTCGAACCCCTGGATGGAACTGCCCGACAGTGATGGGAAGAAATGACACAGATGACTGGTGTGAGTGTCTGAACGGTGATGAGTGACTAGTGACCTGTATGGATGTCGGAGCGATGATGAGTGACGTGAAGTGACCGGTGTGGGTGTTGGAGTGGTAATGAGTGACGTGAGGCGACCGGTGTGGGTGTTGGAGTGGTAATGAGTGACGTGAGTTGACCGCTGTGGGTGTCGGAGTGGTAATGAGTGACGTGGGGTGACCGGTGTGGGTGTCGGAGTGGTGACTGGTGATGCGCAGCGACCGATGTGGATGTCGGAGCGGTGATGAGTGACGTGATGTGACCGGTGTGGATGTTGGAGTGGTAATGAGTGACGTAAGTTGACCGGTGTGGGTGTTGGAGTGGTAATGAGCGACGTAAATTGACCGGTGTGGGTGTTGGAGTGGTAATGAGTGACGTGAGTTGACCGGTGTGGGTGTCGGAGTGGTAATGAGTGACGTGGGGTGACCGGTGTGGGTGTCGGAGTAGTGATTGGTGATGCGCAGCGACCGATGTGGATGTCGGAGCGGTGATGAGTGACGCGATGTGACCGGTGTGGATGTCGGGGCAATGATGGGTGATGTGCAGCGACCAATGTGGATGTCGGAGCGGTGATGAGGATTGGCCTCAATCCGGCCAGTCCTCAAGCACCCACAACATAGTAGTCCTTTCCGGCAGCCCTGATCCGACAGGAATTTCAAATGCTTGGAAATATGCGTTATATGGCCTGCTATGCTCCAACCAACACTGTTAGCTCTAAGGCACTGTGGATACACCGTGGCAACTCATTAGCGAAGGGTAGGACATAGGTCGTAAGTACATTCGCGAGGAGCGTTTTGCATGTGGACAAGACAGTAGTAATAGCCTTATTCCTTGTAGAAAACCCACGAGAATGGATGGATAGATGCATTGATGCGCGATACCTGTTTTATTGACATCGTTTGCATATATAATTGATGCGTGATGCGTGATGCCTGTTTGATTAAAAGCCCTTGCAGATTTGAATGAAGTGTGACGCCTGTAAGTACTTGAATTCATTGGCATGTACACGTATTTTCGCGTATTCTAAATCTTAGATATACACCGTATCGAAGTAATGGCTAGTAAGTGGTCCTTGTTTAATCCCCTGGAGGTTGGTGACCTGTAAAAACTGTGGCTTGCTGTATAAAAGAAAACTGAAAATCGACTAGGATCGGCGGACGATTTTGAATTTACTGCTGTTACTCGTTTCGATAGTCATGTTGCCGAAATATTAATGTATCTATCTTTCCATTCTCCTAGTTTTCTACAAGGAATAAGGTTACTACTACAGCCCTATCTAAGGGTAGGACACATTTCGTGACCACGCACAGGGTCATCCACCCTGTGTTTGGAAACATGTCGCGGCTCGGCTTGCTCAACATCGTTAAGTCAACGTTTCGGCATGTGCCAAATTTTCAACAGCGGGTTTTCCGCGACATGTTCAGACAAGCATGCACTCACTTGGATTTTATTCATGCACGTCTGCCTGGTGATCGACGGTGACATGAACATATCACGGCTCTGTCGCTTTTCCTCGTACCTTCTTTGCCACATCCATACGTAAAGCTACATGGTTAAAAACTCCGGGCCGATTTAAAACTTGACCCATAAACACCGCCACCAGTATATATGTATGTGTATATATATATATATATATATATATATATATATATATATATATATATACATATATATATATATACATATATATATATATAATATATATATATATATATATATATATATATATATATATATATATATATACATGAATATTTCTGCTAAGGAATGCATCGATACGCAACCATCCAACAACCACACAGCGGGCAGAATCGGTCCCAGCTTACGTCTACGAAAATCAATTCGAATTAGCTATGCCACAGGCCATGTGACAAGCGACGAAAGGAACGTTATGCTTTGACAAACAGCTACAGCGGGGCGCATCACCGGTCGGCTCCAGTCGGCGGGCCGCTTACTGGTCCGGGCGGGGTCGCACCGGCTGCAGCACGTCCAGCACGGCACCAATGTCGCCCTGCTTGGCCTGCAGCAGCTGCGTCAACCAGCCGCCGTCGTTGGAGAACCCCATGGCGGACATGACGTGCAGAGCGCGCTGGATGCGCGCGTCCAGCGAGGCGGCCGAGTCGTTCGTCGCGGACGGGGCGGCAGCGGTGGGACTCGGAACGGCATCCGACGCCAGGTCCGGGTACACCCGACCACGCGCGCCGCTCGACTCGTCTGGCGCGCCGCCGCTGCCGCCCACCACCGTCCAGTCGTCGTGCGGCTCGTCGTCGATGATCACTGGAATGATGGTGTCTTCAGCGGGAGGCGCTTCGCTCGGGACGCCGGCAGCCATGGCCGGCTCCGCCTCCATCTCCTCAGCTCCGCCAGCGCTGGCCGCCGCTGCCGACGCCGGCTCTACAGTGGCGCCGCCTGCTGGCTGTTTGGCGGACGATGCCTTCTGCTGCGGCCCGGGCGGCGGCGGGGCGACGTTCTCGGCGGCAGCGGTGGCGGCGGCAGCTCTCTGCTGCTGGCGGGCCTCCACCCCGACGTCCACGTCGATGCCGAACGGGTCGAGCACGGACGCGAGAGTGTGGCCGAGCTCCTCGAGACTCTTCTCCGACCAGCGGGCGGCTGCCGCGCCGGCGCCCATCTCGGACGTGAAGCCACCCAGCGCCGACATGGCCGAATGGATCGCCTCGAAAAAGTTATTGGGCCGTTGCTGGCCGTCGCCACCGGGCGCAGCCGCCGAGGCCGCAGCGGCGTCGGCCTTCTCCGCGGCACGCGCGGCCTTCCGCTCGGGGCGGCCCGTCGGTGAACGCGCACAAGCCGGCCGGCCGTGCGTGGCCCAGGCAGCGCGGCGGCCGCTGCGCCGGCCGTGTCGGAACACCGGCTGCCACACCTGATCCGGGCTGGGGATGCGCAGCATCAGGTGCTCCTTGTGCGTGCCACGCGCCTCGCAGCCGGCGCACAGGTCGAAGTCGTCGCAGCTCATGCACTTGTAGCGGTGGCCGCGGATGGTCTGCTCGCAGCCGTCGCAGCTGACGCCGCAGTGGACGGGGCCGGCGGCGGCGGCGTTGGCGGCGGTAGGTGGCTGCCGCCGGCGGGTGGGCACCACGTGCAGGCGCAGTGTCTGCTGGCCGGCCACTTGCAGACAGCTGACCAGCGCCACCAACAGCTCCTCATCAGAGCTGATCGTGATGGCGTCGCCATCAGCGTCCTCCCAGCGGATGTCGAACTGCTGTCGTAGCAGCCCCGGGAACACTACTTGCAGCTTGCCCTGCAGGAAGGGGAAGCTGGTGGCAGCCGAGCTATCCAGACCAAACCGGCGGATTTCCTGTTTGCCATCCTCTAGGTCCATGTATGCCTTGACTGATATGTTTTTCCCATCCATGGTGGGAAACCTGAGAAAAAAAAGAGAGATGTTAGTGCATGACCCTCACCACATCTGTACAAGACCACATTTATATTGAAAATGGACCGAAACAAAAACAGGCAACCAAGGCCAAAACCGCAATTAGGCCCAAGCACTGTTAGATGAAGCCCCGATCCCTACTTTGGTTAGGTCAAACAGTTGGCATGATCACGATACTGGGATAGGCAAAAGTAGATGGTATGGCAGCTAGTACATCACACATTTACATCTAGCATACGCATACGCTACATGAACATTTCATCATTACACATTTCAGGCACACACCGAATTGGTCCTCTTCAAACTTCGTACAAGGCAACCGGCAACTCCGCCTCCACAACGCGAATGCGTCCGGCACACACCGCCCGGATTATATATAAGTACCTACCTCTCCTGATTCATCTTTGCCAGACCTGAATCGACACGAATGTTCGAGAACGCAATTCACTCAGTCACCCACAAGCGCTGGCAACGACGCACAACACTGCCCGACTTGTGAGTCATGCTGAAAGTCGTCTGATCTCAAGGCCAACAGCAGAAAGGGGCGAGCGGACCGGTGCTACCGTTCGGTTGTTACAAAAGCCGATGAAGTCCGATGAATATTATGTTCAATAATTCTAAATATATCCACGTCGTGAACAGCTGCAAAAATTGCATGCGTGCTTTTTTTCCGGGATATTCATCATGATGCAACACAGCCGCTTTGTTATGTAGCCGCCCATGACGTCACAGGTTTCCACCAATCGAATGCAGGGTAAATCAACTCTCCTTAACCCCGTGACGCGTCAACTGTTTTCTCAGCCGTCCCAGAAGGCGCCGGGGGTGTGTTTACGCCATCTGTAGCGACGTATTGAGGGTAACGAAGCAATTTTCACCTCATATTAGCTGTTTGCGGTAAACCGGGAGTGAATCGTTCGCCTGTTTTACCATACTGCACTCATGCCATATAGGTGTAACTGCCACGGGGATGAATGGGCGTTCGGGTCCCAGTATCATTTTGAAGGTCAGCTGCTTTTGTGCTTTGGCCATGTCAAATAGCATCGAAACAGAAAGCGACCACAGCAGTATTTGAGGTGTGGCTACATCAATTACTTGTGATGGAAGTGTGCAGATTAAAACTTGATTTGGATCGTGTATCAGTTTTACACAGAACATATGCTTCAGGGTGTGCCCAATAAATATTCCCTTAGCAGGGACATAGTTTCAAAAAAGCTTGCAGGGGCGAGTAGAGAAAGTCAGCTCAACCTTACATTGAAACTCACCAACAAATAGGTTTCTCCACAGATTTGACATGCTTTTTTTTAAAGCCTGGAGCTAAAAGGCCCCAAACTGGATGTAAAACTGTACCAGTTTCTTGGCTTTCATATTGCATTTAAGCATCTATCATTTATTGGTAAAAATGAATTAAATATTGCAGCAAAGTCCCACCAATTCCAGGCCAGACCACTGCAAGTGCATGTGTGGAGCATGCCTTTCATAGCAATGACATCTTGCAATAGTTGGAAAGCATGCATGCTGTAAATCTAAGCACCTGGAGTTTTATATGTGGTTGGCACCAATTGAAGCACATAGAGAGCTATTGTTTTGGGATGTCATGTAGAGGTAATTATAGTCAAAAATACCCTGAAAACATTGCCAGGTAAAATTCGCTGAAAATTAAGCACACTAGCCTGGTCTAAGTTAGGTGCAGGTGAGCATAAGATCCACAGTACTAATGTTGAGCTGAGATGACATTCTGTGTAGCAGATGAATTTTTCTTGCAGATTGGATTCCACACTGCAACAATGGCACATATTCCACACAAGAGTAGTGGTAGTCAGGCATTTGCAATTTCAAATGCATGCCTGGTTATGAACAGGATAAGTTGTATTATATATAAAGACCTTTAATCTTATTTTGCCCCATTCAATTTTATGTTTAGAGTGCTGGTTTTTCACAATTTCATCATCACTTTGTCCAATATGAACTGATAGTGATGGGTTTATATTGGACAGCTGTTGAATGTTTGTTGTACATCTCCCCATATATATATATATATATATATATATATATATATATATATATATATGTATGTATGCTGTTTGCAAGCATCTTTGGACTTGGGTAGTACTTAGTCTTTGGAGATAATATTGTTTACAAAAGTGGAAAGCAAAGTGGGTGCAGGACAGTCTGCTGAAGTATGCCACGGTTGACCTGTTTCCGTAGGGACACTGCCATCAGCATTTACATGTTGGTGTCAGATGGTCGGGGCTGAAGTCTCCTGTTCTTTTAAGAGAAGGGCTCCAGCTCCTATCCTTGAAAGGAAAGGACATTAAATTTGAGATGAAATGTGCTTTTTAGCATGTTTTAGAGGGAAGCTTAGCTATTTTCCCTGCTTGGTCCCTAACATATTTATCTGGAGCTACAACCCTGGTTGGCATGCTTCTTTTGAGCATTTCACAGATGATTTTTGTACACTTCATATGTCTGGAGTTTGGTTAGGCAATACCCATGCTATGCTGTATCACAGCTCCAAAATTGGTATGGATGTTGACAAGGGTCAGAGTTTCATTAGACTTGTCCAGTTTTCCATGGTGCATGATACTTCCTAGACAGCAATGCACATGGAATTGCATCAGTGCTGAGGTTGCTCTGTTTGCAGCAACCATGCCATCTGAGGGTGGCCGGCAGACAGAGGCCGAGAGTCTGGCCGCGCTTGACCAGGACCTGTTGTCACTGCACCAGTACTGCAGTCAGTCAAACCTCTCCCCGGAAGAGGTACGCGAGGCCCTGCGTCCGCTGGTTTCCGCTGTCCAGTGGTCAGGGACCATAGACACCGCCAGGTGAGTGTGCTCCACCCCCTGCACCCACTTCCCCCACCTGCCTTTGATTGGACGTCTGACCGGCTGCTACAGACATGGCGACTTGAGTGTGCCCCTGAAATGCTTCATCAGTGGACTGACTGTCTCCGGCCCTTCAGGGCCGACAAGATCCAGAACGAATTAGTCTCGATAGCGCTTTTGTGCACTGTGCGAAAAATCACACTTGTTGATGGGGATCAAGTGCGGCGCAACGCAGCGCGCCGCTTATCCAAGCCAAGAGTCATTACTACCGAAATTATTTATCTGATGATTGCGCTGTATATGTGCCTGTGATCGTATCAATCGGGTCGACTCAATCCGCTGGATCCATGTCCTACCTTTCAATGTGGCACCTTAGCCAGATTTTGTTTCTTGCCGATCTGTGGGCCCTTAGGCCGTGACGCTAGGGCCTGATGATGCGAAATGCTCACATTTTGTGACTGCTCGCGTCCGCAGGTCGGTGACTCGATGCATCGTGGCTGTACTCCTAATCTGTGCCGCTGTCATCCTGCTGATGGGGACAACGCCTTTTCAAGAAGTGGCAACAAGTGTGGGCCAACAAGCCCATACGTATGCAAGAATAGCCATGGTGAAGGTAAAGTTGGGGTCCTGATGGCATGACGGTAACCATGACTATCGAAACCTGGGAAATCCGGGCTGTGACGCAGCAGACGTCCGATTACCGAAGGCTTTAACAGATTGCCAGAACATTACCCATAAGGAGTTGTATAGCACTTATCTAGTGCGCGTTTCTTACCTGCCTTCCTGCTGCATGACCTACAGCAGTCGATGCGCCCTAAAAGCCCCCTCACCTGCCTTTCCCACTATAACGCCGAACATTGCTGGTGCGCCGGCGGACAGCTAAGTGTGCGTGTCTGCCGTGTCCAGGTTCTGCCGTACTGGGACTGGTCCACGCTGTGCGACCTACGCTGTTTGATAGAGAACCCCCTGTACCAGAACCCGAACCCACCGGAGCGTTCCGCTGACAACTGTCACGTGAGTCACCCGCGCCGCTCGTCCGGGTTCGGCCGCGACGTGTCAGGTCAGCCTTGCGGGGGCGTGGCTCTGCGCAGTCGCTGAAGATTCAGCTACCATCAGGAAGGAACGAAGTTATACTATTGGTGGTTAATATCTCCACGTCTTGTTTCATTTTGCCCTTTGAGTATTCTTTCAGGACGGGGTTTTCGTAGCATTTTAATTCACTTGCATGCATTAATTTTGTCGTACTTCTGCGTTAATTTCTTGCGTGCTCCACTGAGAGTGTTGTGCTCGCGTCCTGACAGCTATGTGTGTTCAGTAGTCATCCTTCTGAATGTGATCACCTGCTCCTCCGTCTACAGTGAAACCAATCACCAGCCCATACGGCCTGGTCCTTCTGGCAGTCTCTGAAACCGCGGCCATTTGCCCGCCCGCCGTCCCTCCACTGTCAGCGTCCGTCCATCGCCCGTCACTGTCTGACCGTGGCCGCGCCGTGCAGACGTGCGAGTCAATGAGCGAACTCGACCGGCTGTCCAACGTGAGCGTGGCGGCCTTCACGGAAAACTACATGCGCCTGGACCGACCCATCATCGTCACGGACGCCACCAAGAGCTGGCCCGCATTCGGGGAGCCCGCCTTCGACCGACACCGCCTGGTCGAGGTATGGCGTCGCCTGGTCCACGTGCAAGACCACCGGGTCCATGCTCGACATCGGCGTACCGTCAGCGGCTTCAGTACCTGCTCGGTGCCTCGCATTCCACCCCGTTCGTGCCGGCTGTGATTCGAGTGCGTGTATGCGACGGTAGTGGAGGGTGAGCGAGAGGAAGGAGGCAAGCGTCGTGGTGACAGGTCAATCAGTTGTAGTTGTGTGTTTTCCCTCCGGGAAGTGACAGCCTGGGTGTCGCTGTTTCCAGATGTTCAAGGACGACAAGCTGGCCGACTCCCATCCCTGCGAGCTGTTGACCAATCTGATGGTGCGCCGTAACATGAAATTGCTGCTGGACAAGATGAGCAACCCGGTGATCAAGAAGTGGTTCGCCCATTGGTGAGTGTCTGGCGCTCGGGCGGCGCCGCTGTATCGTGCGGACAGCCGACCCTTACCTTCATGCGGGCCGCCGCACGCGCTGGGCGGGGCTGGTGCACACTAAGGCCATTGCCGGAGAGAATGGAAACGTTATCTTCATTGGTACCAGAGGGCCATCTCGAACGGGACATGACTGGAATTGTGAGCGGCTTGACAGACAGCGACTGCGGTCATATTACGGGCTCTCAGTATCGACTCGTACCTTGAGACCGTTATGACGGCGACTCGTGCCAGAAAGTGATGCCAGCAGTCGTTTCGGGAAAGGCACGTTGCAAAAGGCAAGCGTTGAAGGCTGCATTGGGCTGAAAGAATATAACCTGAAATGAACATGTATTGTTCCCACGCCGTGGTGGACTACCTCCAATGAAATGCAGCAGCCGTATATTCTAATGTGTGCTTGATCCAACCGGTGTGTATGCCGATGATAACGAAGATGTCGCATTTTCAGGTGGAATTTTGGCTTCGGATGAGTTTCGACATGAAGATGGCAGATTTTTCGCCTGTATTTTGTGCTCGTAACTATGCTGCTGGCGGTGGCGAGCTGGCCGCTGGCAAAGCAGGTGCTGGTCTGATGTAATGATCGTACCAGTTTCCTGCTGTTTGGCGACGCCCTGTGTCTTGGACAGAGTGTCCGTTTGGCTACAAGCGGCTATTTCGCACGGCTGGTCGTGCTGATTGTGCCACCTTTTATTTCAGGGAAAACTGTGACAAAATGGTCGCGAAGGCGCTTCGAACCATGTACAGGCGCCCCTACTTCTTGCCGACGACGGTGGATACAACGGAATCTAACTGGGTGCTCGTTTCCTCCAACTACACCGGAAGCGTCTATAAGATGGTGCGTTATCCGCCCTCCTAGTCACGTGGCAGCAGTCGCAGTGGGTAGAATGGATCTGCACCGCCGGGACGTTGGTAGGCGTCGTGCATAATCTCTGTCACTTGTGGAGGCTTCTAAGTTGTTGGATATTCGTGGCGTTGCTGGTCATGTGGTAGCAAAAACAGATACATATTGGCTGCAGTTTTTCCATTCGGTGCATGATGAGTGGGTGGCAGCCAGCAATGATGCTCTTTCTGCGCGGTCAGATTGTCTTTCACTTGAACAGATCGTTGGCATTGATCTGCCGGTTGTTTTGGCGTGAATCCGGTGGTGAAGCGTGGTCTTCGCATGTCGTCTTCCTCCGTGTATCGCTGACCTCTTCTGCTCGATGTCCGGGACCATTGCCTGGTATTGGTATTTGAGCTGGTCAGCACTGAGATTGGGCTCCTTTTGGCCTCAACTTTGGAGAGTAAGGCATCAAGTTTTACACATTATCTTGTGCACTTGAGGCTGAACAGCGCTGTACCTAGCGCAAATGATGGGCGCTGCATGACCTTCAGCAGTTGATGCGCCCTAAAACCCCAAATCATCATCATCATCTAGCGCAAATGCACTAGGCTGGCGCATAATGTTGGGAGATGGCTGTCACAAATTGCACCTATCAATGTATCCACCCTCGAACATCTTAAGGACGTTGGGGAGTGTGCGGGCTTGGCTGTGCCGCGGCCGCCTCTGACCGCCCTCTCCGGCCCCGCGCCGCCAGCTGCCGGTGGTGAACGACTTAGTGTGGATGGCTCAGGTGCAGGGCACCTCGCTAGTGCGGCTAGCAGCGCGCGACCCCTGCACCACCGTCTGCCCCGAGATCGTCGACACACTCCGGCCCGGGGAGATTCGTGAGTGGCGAGGCCGGCTCCAGCAGGTGACGTGGACCGGAGCCGGTCCAACTCCTGACACAGCCGCTGTGCCGCCTCGCACTAAACTGACGTCACCAACACTGGCTCTGTTGCGTTGGACAGCGGGGGTCGGGGACGAAAACGTGTCTGCCTTTTTCGGTGGGCTTGAGTTTGGGAGCTCCGTTTGCAAAACGGACCGGATGCGTGTAGAAGCGTGACATGCGAGCCTGTCGTCACGCCCTGGAGCGTGGGGTGCTCGATTGGCGGGACTGACGCGGATGTTCCGTTTTCAGTGGTGTTCACAGACTTCATGTGGATGATGGATTACATGCCAGGACACGGGACGGATAACGTTGCGATCGGCACGGCGGGGTTCTGGGAGTGACCGGCGCACCCCGTTGAACCAGCACAGCTCCGGTCTGTTTAATGTCGTCTGCTATTCCGGCTTTCTTACGGGAGTGTCCTACCGTAAAAAGTCTGAGGTTAGCGTGAGCTTGCGCAAGTGTATGCGAAAAGGCATCACAAATCTTCGTGGGTGTTCTTCATATCATGTTCACCGTTGTGCTCCTGTTAACAACTTTCGTGCATCATTGGTTTATATCATGGTTCGTTGCTGCTGCCTACCACAATTTGCGTGTCAGCAATTATCGTCTTGATTGCATTTTTGCACCGGATAGAATCACTGTGTTGCTAACGCATGCGTCTCAATTTCCAATTCATCCTGTCGTTACCTCAGTCAAAATGAATCCAATCTTTCATGTAGATTGTGCATTGTGCGCTCTCGGCACACTGAAAACAAGCAAACATGAATCGGCCGCTTGTGGTTCTGCGAGTCGACTCTGGTTATTCCCCATGGAGTGTTAGTTTGGACAAGTGGTCATGAAGCGTGCTTTTCTCCGGTAATGTTGCAAAGCTTTCTGTTTCACTTCCGAACCGTACCTGTTCAGGCAGAATGCGCTGGATATAAACACTTGACGCTTCGAATACAGATCGTGCACAACGGGAGAGCTGGTGTGAACTTCTGCTCCTTACTGGGTGCGAGCTTATTACACTGGTTCTTGGTCTATGGCTTGTACATCTTTGTATTGCTTGGTGTCGTGAAATATATGTCTGCATGATGCCCCGCGAAGTTATCAAGTTAGAGGAACTGTGCTGTTCTCGAGCTCTTCTCTGGCCGGATGTGAAATGGCTATCTAGGATGATTGTGCGTGACCAGGTACCATTGGCGGTTACATGGACGAGTGTCATCTAGAGCCTGCAACATTTGGTTGGTACCAGCCCTGGTACTAGTACCGGATCCCTGGTATTCCGTAAACTCGGCACCGACCGACGCCGATCCCGAGACCGGCAAGCCACGACGTGGCCAGCGCGAACAACGATCTAGTGCCACCGGCATTGGTTTTAGCATCTTTTGTATCGATGCATTGTGAACCTGCGAATGAGGAGGAAAACGTGACGAATCACACAAATTGGTGTGGAGTCTCGCCAAGATTGCTACAAAGCACAACTAACTTTTCGTGGAGAAAATGGTAGAAAGGTTGTGAACAATGCGGCTATTCGGAAGAACGTTCGCTGTTGATGTTATTATTTGTCATGGTTTGCTGCCTCCTTTAATCATTAGTGTGCTCCACGGCCGGGGGCGGACGCCGGAGTTGAGCTGGAAAAATATATACTTCGAAAAATTTTGAGTTTAGGACGGCTTTGTTGTAGCCGCGCTGGCTGAAATCAACGAGTTATTCTTAAAAAACGCGTTAGGTTTACGACGGCGTTGATTCAGCCGCGTTGGGCGGAATCAAAGTTGACTAAAATGCAAACGGAAGTATACGACCGATATTCTTTGTCAGCTAAATAACTTTACTTATCTTTATCTGCTGGAACGTTTGTGCGAAAACAGTCGCTGTCCGGTCTTCCAGATAAACTGTCCGGTCCGGCAAAGGCCCGCACGTGGCCTGTAGAGTGACGTTTCAGCTGAGCTGTAGGCACTAAACTGACTATCGGAATAGATTCCGTATTTAATGCATATACCTACGACTCAGAATAAGAGAATCCAAAATCACATCATGTTCGGGATGGAGTTGGCATAACCCCACGCGCTGCGAGACAACTTCGCACTCCTTTTCGCGCGTCGCACGGCCAACTCGCAATTTGCGCACGTCCGTCCTCAATCACCTTGCCGACGAACGCGCTCGTGAGAAACAATTGTGGGGTCTGTCAGCTCCGCATTCTCGTAAGTCCCCAGAACCTAGCAGGGCTAAAGACCCGGCGCGATGCAGTCAATGCAATGCAATGCAACCAATCAGGACCGTCAATTCCGCGAATGGCATGTACTGCGCGCTCGTAGCATCGCCTCCCGTCCCTGCTGTGCACTGCATGCTACTGATGCCATCCTCGGGCGATGCAACAGAAGAGCGTCATGCTGCCGCCCATATACGGGGCGACTGCCCCAGTGCCTGAGCTCTGTGTTATGCTCCAATCGGCAGTTGAGCTTCCAGGGGTGCGATCCGATGTTACGTATTATGTGCTTTTAAATGAATATATATATATATATATATATATATATATATATATATGACATCAGATAGTGATGTATAATAAATGCATCATATATGTTCCATGTTAAAAACTGCACGCGTCGGCCAATACCTCATACCTACTTTAGCAACTTTTTGCAATAGTGAATTCGCCACGTTGTTGTGACCGTACAATTCACCATCAGGCCTAACGTCAGTATGCTGCTGAGGACGCCGTCCACCCAACTTCACATATATCGACAGTTCTAATGAGCTGAATAGCCGTTTTTACCAGACAACCGGCAGGATCGTTTTGCACCTCTTGACCCGCTCATCTATTTTGGCTCGCCCGCGAACAATACGTTGATGAATGGGATGTATTTTTGAGGTACCCCGTCTCCACTGAACCGATCAAGCGTCTTAAAGCCGTCACTCTGTGCCGGACGGTAGATCAGTCGCTGATAACGCACGGCCGCCAAGCTTCCCCCCCCCCAGACCTTGACGACCATTAGAAGCTGTCACAGTCCAACTGCAGGTGGTTTGAAGGCATCCGAGATCAACTTATGCATGGAGTAGTTCGCACGCACGTTTACCCTTCCTCGGCTCCTCGTTCCGTTGGTAGTCTCAGTTAACGTGCCTCTCTGAGGCCTGGCCCCACTATATTGAACCGGATTTGGCCGGGGTGTTTCACCCATTTAAATGCGAGCGCGCTTACGCGAAGTGCAACCCGACTGCTACACGTATGTCACAAACAGAGCACAACTGCTGACAGATCACTGGCGATACGCTTCAGCGCGTACAAAATGACATAACCAACCGCACAACACCGGCACGCTGCGCTTCCGCAGCCGCATCACAGCCGACCTCGGAGCTCGACACCCGCGGCGCCGGCCTCCTCACTTCCACTAGGCGCCGTCAGCCCTGCGCGCCAGCCCGCCGGCCGCGGCACGACGGGGCGCACGGTCAGAACACGCGGTCCTGGTAGCTGGAGATGTTGTCGACGGCCGAGCGCTGCGCCGGCTGCTGCTGCACGGGCCGGGCCGGCATGCCGCGCCGCGGCGGCGCCAGGAACTCGAACATGCTCTGCTTGTGCTGCTCCAGCATGCGGCCCAGGTCGGTGGGCATCGGGTCGGTCCAGAAGAAGTCGTGGTTCAGCGCCGTGTCCGAGTCGATCCGCTTGGCCGGGTCCAGTGTCAGCATGCGGTCGAGCAGGTCGCAGGCGTAGGCGTCGCGCACGTACGGCTTGAGCCGTTCCTTCACCCGCCGCTTCTGCTGCTTGGGCAGTTGGATCTTGGTGTAGAGCTCGAGCTCCTCCACGCCGGGCCAGACCTCGGGGCAGATGGCGCCGCACAGCTGCGAGATCAGCGTCAGCTGGTGCTGCTCCGAGCTGCCCTGCATGATGGGCGAGCGCGTCCACATCTCGGCCATGATGCAGCCGGCGCCCCAGACGTCCACCGGCGGCCCATAGTTGCGCTCACCTAGCAACAGCTCGGGCGGCCGGTACCACAGCGTCACCACCCGGTTGGTGTAGCGGTTGCGCGTGCCCGAGATCTTGCTGAAAGCGCGCGCCAGCCCAAAGTCGGCCAGCTTGAGCACGCCGTTCTTGGTGATGAGCACGTTGGCCGCCTTCATGTCGCGGTGCAGGATGTTGTTGAGGTGGATGTAGTAGAGCCCATTGAGCAGCTGCTGCATTACCTTCTTGATTTCGCCCAGGTTGAACTTGACGTTGATATTGGACAGGAGACCGGCCAGATCGTGCTCGCAGAACTCGAACACCAGATAGAAGGTGGAGCGGAACTTGTTGGCGGCGTTAGCCGGGCCGCGGCAGATCTCGAGCAGGGCCACCACGTTCTCATTCTTAAGCAGCTGCAAGATGCGGATCTCGCGCAGCGCGGTGATCGGAAAGCCCTCCTTCTCAGTTCTCCATGAGCACCTTCTTCAGCGCCACGATCTTGGAACGGTCCGTCTTCAGGCGCGCCTTGAACACCTCGCCGAAGGTGCCCTGGCCGATCTTAGCCATGCGCTCGTACTTGGAGACGTCATGGCAAAAGGGGTAGCGCAGCGACTCGATGTATCCATCCAGGTCGCGGCCACTGCTGGACAGGCCGCTCGAAGACGACTGTGACATGGTGGCGCCACTCTGAAACAAAGAACACACCCAGCTGTGACATGATGCCATTGAGAGGCTCATATCCTGAGCGTCACTGCCCTCTTGTGAAAAGAATCAAAATAATCTGAGCAAATTATCAGTTCCAGTGGTGAGTACATTCACACCAATTAGTGCAGTTCACTGAGCAGCCATGTTGATGGCAAAGGGCAAAAATATTTCCTGGCAATAGGGAATACAGCTTGGTGCGGCAGCATGAGGCTGTGCCAGTTATGGACAAGGCAGGTTGCAGCAGCTACACCCAGGCCACCAATGTAGTGGAGCAATGGCAATGCCTGGTGTTACACATGGATCAGGCAGGGGACAAAACTGGGCTTCTAGTTTTAAAGCTGAATCCAAAGCCAAGATCATGATATAAAGCTAAAGTACATGCTTGTGTATTCAGAACTCTGAATATGAAGCCAAGGCCAGTATTTCTGCACATTTACAATGCTCAGCAGAATCAAAAGCTGGCAGCTTCCAACTTTGTACATGTGACACCAAAGTCTAAATCTTCCAGTCTTACAAAACATGAAGCCAAGGCTGAACCCTAGGAAATGCTTAGCTGAGGCTGGAAATGCAATTTGGATTCATGAGACTGAAGCCAATCCAACATCTAAAGTATGGCAATATTTTGTCAAACCAAAATCACTTGTGTCTGCTGGAACAGCATGGGACCAGAAAACACCAAAGTTTCCTGGAATGATTAAGAAAAGGAACTGACAGTAGGAATAGCAGATATGTAGGACTATTAGCCTAATCCTGTATATAAGTTAGTTCTCTGGTTCTCATCAGGTGCTAATTAGTCCTGAGAATGATGAGCAAGCTTCTATGAATATGAGTTGTAGCCTGGAAAACTTGTATCACAAACTGTGATAGTAGGACCAACATACCTGTATTGACTAAAGTAAAGTTGCAACTGCAGTAAAAAATCACCATCACACCACTGAAGCAGGCAGTTCATGATTGCATACAGCTTAAACTGCTGCCAAAATTTGAAAAATTGTTCAAAGCAAAGGCAAACATCAAACCCAGCTGTTCAAATCACACCAAGGCCACCCTAACATTTGAAAAAGCACAATGCTGAAGCTGAGTCCAGTCATGCAAAATGGTTCTAAGCTGGAGTAGAACTCAAAGCCATTGGAAGAGCACTGTGGTCATGATTTCAATGCTGAACTTAGCTTTGTCCCCGAGCCTTAAGTGGATCCTTTTGGTGATAAGGTGGGAAAGAGGAAATAGAAATAAGGCAACACATCAGGTGCACACACCCATCTCATGCTCTTAAACAGCAACCATTGGGACACAAAGCTGAGGTTTTTTTCTGTGGAGCAGATTGAGATCCCAAGTTTGTTAAACTATACAAACTTGTTATATGAAACACATGCAAGAAAAGGAGGCAAAGTTGCATTATATTCAATATAAATTCTGGTCATCTGCAATGCTCACCAGTTAAGACCGCCGCTAATCATTCCGTGCCAATGGCGAGGCCGGAAAACGTCGTAAGAGTCAATTACTCGATGGGCGAGCGTTTTTTACCTTTCGGCCGACAACACTCTGCGGAGGAAAAGAGTGTCAGCTTAGGTCTGTAATGAGGACCGGCTAATCAGCTGACGAAACGTCGCTGCCCAATGACAGGTTTTGTGCTTATCATGACGTCACTGGTAGACACGTGAAGATTGGACTTCTTTCATTTCCCACGATATTACAAGGATCACAAGCCACTTATGATGACAACATTGAAAACCAAGCAGGTAGTCGTAATAACACGTGTCCTGCATCCCACTGATGACGTAACCTGGGACGAAAGAATCGGTCGTCAGTTGAAAACTTTGATGGGACACGTTTTTCGGCTGTGTTTTCCCGGTGCTCGCGACGTTTCGGGAGACTTACGGTGCACGTGCAGTCTACGTACATACTCGTGGTTTACATTCTTATGGTTATGCCAGGTTGAAAAACAAATGAAGAAAAAAGTAAGCTACTTTTCACCTACTGCTCATGACGTCACGTGACACGAGTTATGGTCTTCGTTTCGTATCACTAGGGAACCTAATACTGGCGGAGGACCACCTTTCTCAGTAGGCTTCTTCCAGAAACTACTACAAGAAGGTTCAAATGATCCATGAACAAACCGCATTCAGACATTTCCACATTAAGTTGCCAATGGGGCCGGAAAAAGGCATGAACTGACTCAATGTTTCCGGCTACCGGCATTCTCTGCCTCTAACAAACATTCCAAAATAGCTGTCGATCGGTGCAACCACTGGCGGCACCATTTTGACGGTGTCCGCCAGTCCACTTCGAGTCAATAGTATGGCCGTCGATGGGTATGATCGTACTTTTACCCTTCGGCCGTCAGCCTTATCCACCCATTCAAACGTGCCAATATAGTTTCAATCGATGGCAACCACTAGCAGCACCATTTTAGGAATGAGCAGATATTTTCCCTCATGTCGTGGAGAAAATGACCTTACCATTTCTGAACAAGATGTTATTCGAGAAAGCCAATCCCGAATTACCAAAAGAGTAGTTTATAGGCATAAGCTTACTCTTTACATTTCGGCCGCCAGCATCATCTGATCATTTCAGATGTCAATACATTCTCCATCAGTGCAATCATCAGCGGATACCTTTTTAAAAGTGTCTATAAGCAACTAAAATGTGCAATCCTTGGCAGATTACTACTGCACACCACCACGGACTATGTGGCACATACACACAGCGTACATTAAGGCCGGCACAGTAACCTAATCGCCTGCGAGCATAAGCGATTGTTATTTTGCAGCTGCAGGCATATACTTCCCATGAAGCGTGTTTATCTGACAAATAAAGCACAATGGCTGCACATGGCGAAGCAGAGAAATTAATAAATTCTATGGAAATGTGCCTGTGGCTCCTATGCAGAGGAAGGATGGAGTGCAGCGGCATCCCCACTTTCTGGGAATGTAGAGCATTAAACTTATGGAATCTTATGGGAGGACTCGCCGACAATATGACTAGGGGCACCCTTCCTTTCTAAAACGTTCCTCCGTGTATTTTACGGGTGCCAGCGGCAGACCTTTTATCACTTTTGCATCCAAACTCTTCAACTTACCTTACGGCCGCCCGCTTTGAAATCTTCAATTGAACTGCATGAAATGGCTTTGCTGCGTTTGAAAACTACTGCAAAGTGCTCCAAATGGTTCCTGAACATAATGCCACGAACGTGGCCTGGCCTCTGGGATCCATTTTAAAACTAGGGACACGGCTGGGGCCTGCGATTTACATTGACTGGGGGCCCCTTAAGTCAACTAGAGGCCTACTGTGTCGGCCAGGGACTCACCGTGACGTACAGTGAAACACCGTTTCATGGTAGATGCGTAAAGCTGTATACACACATTGTTGCAGACTGGCATGCGGTTAGGTGCTGCGCTGGCCCAAATACACGCTGTCTTTCCGCGTCTTATAAGTCGTGGCGCTCCCCGTCAATAATCGGCCGAGGCTAGAATGCTGTTATTGCCCTGATCACGATGCTCGAATTTCACATCAGCACATGTTTCATGGTATCTGCTCATAAGCCGCATACATAGTTTGTTTCAGTCTCGCATACGGTTATATATTGCGTCGGCTTTAAAGCACGCGGTTGCGATGTGCCCAATAGGTCGTGGTGCTCCCCCTGGCACGACCTGCTTATCATAGAATATGTAACTGCTCTGTTAAACAGAGATGGTTTCCGGTTATGATCGCACCGATAGAAACTAAGCTGCAGCGTTTGATATGGGTAGACCATGCCGGCGGCCCAAACGTAAAGAGGTGAGTTTTAAGCTTATCACTGGCCCCATTGGTAAACCTCGTTCTATTGTGTGCTTGTTAGGATGTGTACCGCTTTTCCGCGGGTCATATATGACCGTTGAACTTGATTTTTAATGTTAACATACCTTTCATGGTTTATACATTTAGCCGCATGCACACCATGCTTCACGCCCGAAGGCGTAGTGGGTATTGCGTAGGCCTTAACGCACGCTCTGGCTATGTGCCCAATCGGCCGTGGTGCTGCCCGTGAAAAGCTAACCGGTGCTAGAATATTTCAGATGCCGTTTAAACAGTTTTAGAATTATGTCCACCAGTCGTTGCACTGATGGAAACTATGTTGACACGTTTGAAATGGCAAATGATACTGGCGGCCGAAACGTAAAGAGTTCACTTTACGCCATTATCGGCCCTATTGGTAACTCCGAGTGGGCATACCCGAATGACGTTTAGTTCAGGAAGGATCGGTCCACTGTCTCCATGATGATAGCAAAATTGCATGCATAGTTTTAAAATGGTGCTGCTAGTGATATCATCCATTTAAACTATGCTAGCACGTTTGAAATGGACAGACAATGGTAGCGGCCGAAACGTAAGGAGCCCGCTTATGTCTATTAACGGCCACTATTTGTAACATCGATTGGACTGATTTTAATGCAAGTTTATTCATGAATAATTTGGACCTCCAGTACTTTCTAAATGCAGCAAAGTTAGGTCATGGAGTCATATTGGGCATTTCATGGCAGGCGGTCGTAATGGAAATGAGTATTGGTTGGAAGTCGTGTTTTGGCGACCAGCGCTACCAGCCGGAAGTGGACTTTCGCATTCATTTTTCTGCACTGACGTAGTGTTTTCTCTGTTTTGTAATGTGTGACCAACGCGTTGTATGGTATACACATAACCACATACAAGCCTTGTATCAGGCTCGCAGGCGGTTAGGTATTACGTTGGCCTTAACGTACGCTGTGGCTTTGTGCCCAATAGGTCATGGTGGGCCCCGAGGAATAATCTCTCGAGGCTACAATGCTTTCAGGGTCCTGGCCGTGACACATGGACGTTCAGATGAACACACGTTGAAAGGTACATTGTATAGCGAAAACAAGAGTGTTTCGGTTGGCAGGCTTTTGATATTACGCCGGACAACTGGGCACATGGCACGCTGCTCCTATTTACCCAGTTGGCAGCGCTGGTCCCCGGGAATAACCCGCCAACAAGAATATATGAATTTCCATTTAGACAGTTTTGAAAAAGTGTTGGCTAGTGATTTCACTGATGGAAACTGAGCTGACACGCTTGAAATCGGCAGACAATGCTGACGGCTGAATAGTACAGGCCGCTCATACCTATCACCTATACCTATTGTCAGCTCTGCTTCTCTTGTGTGCTCGTTGGGACGTGTGCTTCGTTTCAACGTGTCATATGTGACCGTTGGACTTGATTTTTCAGGTAAATACACCTTTCATCGTAAATACATTTAGCCGCATACACACCGTATTTCACGCTCGAAGGGTCGTATGGGTATTGCGTAGGCCTTAACGCACGCTCTGGCTATGTGCCCTAGAGGTCGTGGTACTGCCCGTGAAAAGCTAACTGGGCTAGAATATTTCAGGTGCCATTTAAACAGCTTTGGAATAATGTCCACTATTCGTTGCACCGACGGGAACTGTACTCACACGTCTGAAATGGGTAGATAATGCTGGCGGCCGAAACGTAAAGAGTCCGCTCATGGCTATCACCGGCCATATTGGTAACTCGGAGTGGATTTAGCTCAATGACGTTGCGTCTACGAATCATTCGGTGCACCGTGCAGTAGTTTATAAATGTAGAAAAGCTATGTCATGCTGTGAAATTGGAGACTTTATAGGAGACGGCCGGAAGGTAAATGGAAGGGCTTGGCTGGAAAAGTAATATGCGGACTGGCGCTGCCTGCTGAGACCTAGGCAGAGGAACGGCTCACAAAGAGGTGTCGCCCATATTAATTTTGCATTTAATTTTTTCATTGGTTGCCATAGGGTAAATCTCAACAATCTTGGAAGGGGGAGGGGGGGGGGGGGGTGCCATGAGACGTAGAGATTCAACGTTTCTACGCTTGCAGCACAAAAGGCGCAGCGTAATTGATTTCCCCGTCCCAAATGTGATGGCTTCTCTCTCATGTCACTCGTGACTATTACACTAGGTTTTTCAAGCAAACACACGTTTCATGACATTCATATATAGCTGTATGCGAACCTTGTGTCATGCTCACAGGCGGGTTAGTATTGCATCGGCCTGAACGTACGCTCTGGGTTCGTGCCTAATAACCAGTGTTTGTCCGCGGTAGTGATCTGCCAAGCGATGCATATTGCAATTTGTTCTCTAAGCATTTTTAAAATGATTTCAACATCATTCAACATCATTCAAAATTGCGTAAGTTGTTCAGTGCATTAGCGAGAAACATTACTCACATAGAGAGGACAGAATTAGCCTTATTCCTCGGAGAAAAACCAGGACAATGGAGATATAGCTCGGTTGATACTTCGGCAACAAACGTTATCGAAACAACAGCAGAAGCAACCTTCAAACAGCAATAGCAATAGTAACTAAAAAACAAGAGCAATAGCAAGCTTCTGCTATTGTTTCGATAGAGGCATGTTGCCGAAATATCAACCAAACCATATCTTCATTGTCCTGGTTTTTCTGCGAGGAATAAGGCTAAAACTATTGTCTTATCAACATCATTCAGCTCTGCGGATTAATGGGTTCTTATATTTGTGTATGTTTGCGGTTTCTCACTGAATGATGAATAG